CTGCCGTCTCTCGAAAATCATTAACCACTCGCAAGGGAATGGAGGAACAAACCAGTCTATACTTAATCGATTTCCCCTTTTTCTATTTGCATACGGTTTGCTTTTCAGTTTTGCCTCCTTTGTAACCTTTACCTTTTTTTTCCTGCAATGTTTCCTGGCCCACATGATGCTTTCATCCGCTTTTTTATTCTATCTATTACCACAGCTAATATTTCCTCTGCTTCGAAAGTGTTTTTCCCCCTCATAGTTACCCTATTACTCCGCAGCCTCTTTCTTACTTTCTTGGAAGGTGGGTTACCCGTTAGCCCAGCTGCAGGCTACCTGGAGCGTCCACAGGTGTCGGATAGTGTAGCGGTCTTCAGCGAAGGTTAGCTACGAAATTAGTAGGCTCCTGGTTCTGGCGAATAAGCAGTCGCGGACCAGCAGCGGCAGTGTTACCAGGGCGCGGAGGGCTGAGGTTCGGCGCACCGACTGCCTTATAAAATGCCGAAAGTTCCAATGACGACATTGTGACATAGCGACCGTAAACAGCCATTAAATAGGCTTAATTGCCACCGCTGCCTTCTGATTAGGTTCTTAGACCAAAGTGCTAGAGGAGACAATCTTGAATACAGAATACAAGCGGCTGTTGGGGACCCGCCTGTATTAAAAATCCCCAAGATCCCTCATGCAAAATGTCCGACTCCGTCGTCCGCCTCAAGAGGTTTGCTAAGCTGCCCTCGATCCGGCGCTACAGCCCATCCGGAGGCGTCGAAGAGGTGGGCAGCTTAAGACTTGACCCGACAACATTCATCAATACATGGAAGCGGTTCATGGACCTCTGATTTTCGGTCTCCGTCGCTGGAGCAGAGAATGGCTGAAGCTTTCCAGATCCGCTAGTAATCTAGGCTTGTCACCTCGTCTATCTTTGGTCTCGTCTTGCCTTTTTCACCTGCTTGCATCCTCTTCTCGGAGTTCCTACTTCAGTTTCTCTCTTTGTAGTCTCCTATCCGATCCACTTCACAGCTTCCTTTTTCACTCTTTCCTTCTCTGATCCACGTCCGTCTCCTCCTAGCCCGTCTCCTTTGTATTACCACTTATTCATCCTTTCCTCTCTTCACTCCATGCGGCCACCGAGCATTCCTATTCTTTTCTCCTTGCGACCTTTTGGCACCGCCTTTGAGAGCCAAAAAAGAACGCACGGACAACAATTTCACCCGATGACTGCATGGCTTTTAGCAGGAAGCCCAGAACAAACGGGGGAGGGGGGGGGAGCTGGTCGGTAAGGTTCTTGACATCGTTACTTCAAGTCAACATAGAACACCTTACCGATAGATCCATTAGGCGAATGAAGACAAAAGGCCCTTTGAAGAACTCTGCGTAATGACGACGAAGGAGGATTTTCACAATTGTATAGATCAGAGGAAGAGGATAAAACTCATACCTATCGAACAAAGGCTGTCCCTTTACGCTAACAGCAATCGACACGTTGCTTTACTGATATTTTACAGTAATCCTCAAGCCAAAGTGAAATGAAATATAATGAGGATGCAAGGCAACTGGCTTTCAAGAAGGTGTACACTTCAGAAGGCGATGCAATCGCTGAAACAGGGTTTTATTGCTCTGGTGTTTCAAATCCTCACTCGAACCCGTCATCAGATACAGTCTGCGGTAGTCTTTCTTTAGAACGGACTGACTTGTGACACTCGTTGATTAACGCATACCAAACGATCTGCCTTGGGTATCATTGTTTGGGTCCTGAAATAGCCAGAAATAGCCATTCCAGTCTCCCTTGTGTTTGCCAGCAATACTATCCGCATAAGGCGTACTCTTCAAAAGATGAAGATGTGATCACTGGCACAAGTTTTATTGGCCTGACGCTTCCTATCCTCACTCGAAAGCATCATCATATAAAGTCTCAGATAGTCTTTCGTTACTACGGACTGGCCCTTTAAATTGCATTCGTGTCCTTCTGATATTGCAAATCAAGTCGTATGTGTATACCCACAACTATGGGGCCCCTGATTCATCCGGCCCTAGTTGAAATGTATACTGACTTAAAAAAAACACCAAGAATGTTGCAATACTGTACAGATCGCATCGGGCTGCGTTATACTACAGAATCAAAATGTCTTGAAGACTTTTGTCGATTGATGTTCCAACCCACAGCAATCTGCAGCTGTTAACGCAATAAACCAACTATTGAGCACCATTAATGGTGGCTTTGTTTTTAAGTCAAATTGCTGAATTTTAAACCATTTTTCTCTCGCTCTTTTTAGTACCTACTTGCTCCCGATGCGGAGATAAAGTGAATGAGCGGACACTGATTCGAGTCCTGGACCAATTTTGGCATGCCAAGTGCATGTACTGTCCAGACTGCGGAGTCTCTTTGGGTAGCAAGTGTTTCTTCCGAGACGGCGAGGTCTACTGCAAGGAAGATTTTTTCAG